CATCCTTAATGGGAGTCTACAAACAGGAGGAGGTCTAGCCGTCTGTGGGCCCCTGACTCACAGGCTGGCTGGAGTCCTTTATCACACCCTGCTGCATTGCAGAGGCAGCCCGTCTAAGCCAGCCCCTCCCTACCTTGTGACATTCTGCAGACAGGCCTGACAGATGCCACCTGTAAAAAAGCAAATTTTCCTTCGAACCTTAGTTCTTCCAGGTTCGGCAGCAGGGTTCCAGTGTACAATGTGGCTCGCATTGCTAGTCAGACACTTCCTGGCTGTGTTCTAAGTCTGTGGCACCTGCAGTGCCGTATATCATAACTTCTATGCCCGGGGAAGCAAGGAATACAGGAGACTGTCTTTTAAGGATAACACCTCCCACTGTGTCTTCAGCAATATTCAATACTTCAGAGTATGAGGGAATGGTTCTTTAACCACCCAAACAACTCAAAAGGACCCTCCTTTCCCGATAGTAGACATTATACCGTGCATCCATCATTTGAAAGTATAAATGACATCTATTACAAAAAAAATTACAGATAGGGCAATTATTTGAGATACATGTGACTTGTATCAGTCTCAGTACCGAAATATGTTAGAAAATATGTACTAATTGGTCTTGTTACTTTAGATACTCGGGACGCTGAGGCAGGTGGATCTCAAGTTTTAGGACCAGTTGGACAACAGAATGAGTTTAAGATGAGCCTGAGTCATGTCGTGAGATCCTGTCTCAAGTTAAGAACACAAAGAGGGCCAGAGACATGGATTTTTGTCTAGAATCAGCTCGTTGAGGGGTTAGGGGTGTGATTCAGCTGTAGAGAATTTGCCTGGAATATTTAAGTGAGGCTGGGGGGTGTGGCTCAGCAATAGAGCACTGTCCCTGTCTCTGGTACCTCAGGACGAAAAGAATGAAGGAAGGAAGGAACTCGGTGATGTATAGATGTATAGATGTGCCCATCTGATCACAAGACAGGCGTTTTTCTTTTTCCGTTGTATCATACTGGATTAGAAAAGGCTGTTTCTGTGTTGCTATAGTGTACTTTGAATATACTTCCCCTTACTCCCCTCTCCCCCTTTTTACCCCCACCCTCAGCCCCTCTTGCTTCTTAGACTGTTTCACTTTTACTTTCAGGGTGTCTGTGCAAATCTGATTTTGTGAATCTATATGGTCTAGAAGCCACAGATGAGATTAAGTACGCACTGTTTTAAGCAAGGCTCTGCCAAACACAGTATCAACAGGCACAGCATCCTACCCAACCCAAACAGCATCTAACAGCAAGAAAAACCAAGACTCAGTGACAATTAGAGTTGATAAAAGTTACTGATGAAATATGAACCCAAACCAAAGGTCTCTGATATCCTAAAAATCTACTGTTCTTCCCACTCGGCCAGAATGGCATAGCTTGTGATGTTTTATTTTACTTTTTAGAGACTTATTTTGTTTCTTCTATGTTATATGTATGAGTGTGGGTGTCCATGGAGGTCAATAGGGGATGTTGTATCCCCCAGAGCTGGGGCTATAGAGAGTTGTGAGCTACTTGATGTGGGTGCTAGAAATGGAACTTGGGTCCTCTGCTAGCACAGCTCTCCAGACCCACGTGTGATATTAAAATCTTTCGGAGTATCATGCGTGGAAGCAAATGGTAGTTCAATGGCCTTAAACAGTAGCTGAGTTTAAGTCAGTAATGGCTAATTTCCCAGAGGGAAAGCACGCCAGTGTTTCTCTGTCAACCCCTCCTACTGTCCTGCTGTGAGCCTTGAAGCCCCAGCTATTTTCTTTATATCAGTGGTCTGTACATCTAAGCCTTCTGCTTGCCTAATCTGGTGTGAGCATCCTGGGGCTACCAACGGAGGCTTCTTTCTCTCTGCACACCCACTGCTATGGCTTGACTGGGCTTGAATTTCTGACAGAGAGCATCGTGTGTTGGAATCTTGACCCCTGGTGTGGTGATGTGAGCTGGTAGAATCTTGAGCAGGTGGGACCTAGTAGGAGATCCCTGGGAGCAATTAACATAGAAAGTGAATCTAGTTCTTGAAGGACCCCAGTTTGAGCTCAAGATCTGGCCTGGGACAGCAGCTCATGTGTAAAGTGCCTGCCCTGTAAATGCTAGGGCCTAAATTCAATCCCTAAGACCCATGGTTTTTTTTTTTTTTGAAGCCTGGGAAATGGAGACACAAGAACATACAGATAGCACATGTACACACAAAATTAGCAAAATAATAATATTAAAGTAGGGTAGATTTGCCTGATGAACAACACTGGAGCCTGTCTCATAGGCTCTGTGTGCACATAGGCATCTTCACAAACACACACACATTTATACATACACCTATACACATTCAAGACTGACACTCCTCTCTCTGGCTTCCAGACTGACCATGGCACCTCCCTCCCTCCCTCCCTCCCTCCCTCCCTCCCTCCCTCCCTCCCTCCCTCCCTCCCTCTCTCTCTCTCTCTCTCTCTCTCTCTCTCTCTTTCTCTCTCTCTGTGTGTGTGTGTGTGTGTGTGTGTGTGTGTGTGTGATTATATCTGTCATAGAATGAATTAGACAGCCAAGGCTAAATTCTAGATCTTAGTTTCAAACTTTGAGGACTCTGAATAGTTAAAGCCCTGAATAAAACAAATACCTTTTCTTTTAAAAATACCTAACCTCAGGCATTTCATCATACGAATAAAAATGGATAAACACACTCTTAATGTCTAACACAAGGTAATCAAGTAAATGAAAATAAGGAGCCAAATTAGGACAGAAGTTCAATGAAACGAGTGAATCCCAGATATAAAAGGGACAAGGGCAGAGACTCCTTTGGGGCCATGGAAGCATGACTAGAAGAAATTAGGATCTTGGCTCTGCTGTGGTCAAAACTGCAGTTGATATTGTTTTGAGTATAATAGCATCATTTTTAAAAATGATCTGCAGGTAGGAGACATGACTCATTTGGAAGAGTGCTTGCTTTTTAAGCACAATAGCCTGAATTTGATCCCTGGAACAACGTGAATGAATAAACGGATGAATGCTAGGATCGTTTCTGGCATGTGCTTGTGATCCAAGTGCTGGGGGGACATGGGTCATTGGTTTAGCTATTCTAGCCAAATGGGTGAGTTCTGGGCCACAGAGAAACGTTCTTTCAAATGGGTGAGTTCTTGGCCGTGGAGAAATGTTCTTACAAAATGCAACAATGTGGATGGGTCTGAGGAATGACAACCAAAGTGTCTTCTGGCCTCCGCACTCATGTGTTTGCTCACAAACACACAGGGATGCAGAGCAGAAGAAAAATCTGGTTTAACTCTCCCCAAAGTTCGGACAAGAGGAAGTGAAAAGAATTGTAAGAGCCAGGGGATGGGGAGGAGAGATGTGGCATGCTGTCTTCTGGGCATGAAATGTCTATTACACTCATGTGGTTGCCTACACAAGAGCAAGCCAGCTAAAATTATAACATGGATGAGGTAAATGGTCTCTAGGCCCAACCCTTACCGAGAAGCTACCGGCAATTGGTAGCTGTTGGAGATGGGGAAGTCCTTCTTTTTGGAGGGTTTGGTCACTTTAGGATTTTCATTCGTACCTGCTCACATATGAGCAGCACTAACTGGACCTTATAAGGTTTGAAAAAAACCAAGAAGTTGGGAGGAGAGACACACTGGGTGAATACAGGAGTAGGAGAGGGGATGGGTGGGTATGATTGTATTTCATTGTGTTTATGTAAGAAGATTTCAAGAACAGAAAATTGTTTTTAAAGATTTGAAGGCTCACTGAAGTGCTGTGGTGTAACTTCTAAACAATGATGGCAAACAATAAATTACAAAAGGGGTGGGGACCAGACAAAGGGGTGCTTGCACACCACAGTGACAGTGACTGTCTCTGCCCATGCCATCTGTGTATTGCAGCAAACCCATCCGCTTTCATTCTGAGCAGGGAGCCCTGATTAATTGCCAGGTTCTCAAGCCCTTTAAAGTCTGCTCCTAGACTCAAAGGCCTGACATTTCAAAGCATAAGCATTTCGGGTTTGCATATCATAGCCCTGGTGTGTTTGTGAGGTGACTGCAATTCCAGACACGTCAGCAGTCCCCTACAGAGGGAAAAGTGGGAAGGGATCTTTCTAGTCCAAAGTTCCCCAGTTCCCTTGCAGGATCCTACATGCACTCTGTTCTGAGAGAGATCAGTAAGATGAGTCCACTCTGTGTGGTCCCTAGAGGAAGGTGGCATCATGGGAGCCTGGTTCATTCCCACCTGGCAACTGCTAGTACTAGGCCCAGCAAGGAAAAAGCCACAGCTCCTTCAAAGCAAGTTTTCTTGTCAGACACCCCATCATGAGACTTCAAAAGGATGCTAACTTTAAAAAGTTGAATTTAGGGAAATGGCTCATCTGGTAAAAGACTTGCTGTGTAGGAATGAGGACCTGAGTTCCATTCCCAGAACCCACATAAAAATCCAGGGGTGGTAGTGCACATTTGTAATCTGGCATTGGGGTGATGGAGACAGGTGAACCACTGCCCCCCAGGGCTTGCCGACCAGACAAGCCTAGCTGGATCAGTGAACCCCTAAGTTAGTGTTAGACTGCTTCAGAAATTAAGATGAAGAGGTTCTGGAGCTGCTTGCTGTGTAAGCATAATGAGCTGCATTTGGATGTTCAGGAGGCACAGAAAAAGCCAGGTGTGGTGCACATCTGGAACCTTGGAACTGCAGGGGATGAAGACAGGCAGATCCTTAGAGCTCATTGGCTAACTAGTCTGGCTAAACTGGCAAGCTCCAGACTCAGTGACAGACATTGCCTCAAAAAGCAAGGTGAAGCATGATAGAGGACACCTAATAGCACACCACTAACACACATACACACTCTCACACATACCCTAAGATTTAATCCAGTGTGGTACTGCCTCCCTTTCCCTGTAAGGCTTCTGTGCTGGGTCTCTAAGAAATACTCAGCTTCCAGGACAATAACAATGCAGAAGTATGGCAGCCAGTTATCTTGATAATAAAAATAGCTGACATTTATTGAGCACTTACCAACTGCTGAATTCCTTCCTTGCGGTATCAGCTGCAGCCAGTCCTGAGATCAGAGCTCCTGCCAGGAAAGACAATACAAAAGTCATGCAGGGACTGCACACGAATGTGTGCTAACAACATGAGACTTCTCAGGGGCCATGTAAAACACCCCTCCCAATACTAGGAACAACAAGGGGCTACCAACCCTCCCAGGCTTTCTGCATTTAACCCTCCAGCCACAGTAAGGGAACCCCAGAGCAACTGAGATCTTTGTAACTGTGATCTTAGGCACTCCTTTGACAGCCCCACCCCAATGTCTGGGTCTCTAGACATTGCAATAATTTAGTGACCTCATCCCCTGCTTCCAAGAACGAGTTAGCTTGTTTTTCTTTTTCCTCGGTAACAAATCTCTAACAGGAAAAATGTGGTATGATAGCTCCCTACCGAAACGTAAAGACAATGGCTGGAAGTCATCTTCAATACTTCCTGTGAGCTGCTTTGCATGTAGTAGATGTTCAATAAATATATGAATTAATGGCAGACTATGCGATTTCATTATTTAGAAGTAGGAAAACATTATTCTGATAGTTCACAGGTTCCAACACGCTACCCCTATGTAAAATTACATGCTAAGGAAAGGTGAAATTGAGGCTAAAGGGACAGCTCAATTGATAGTCATTGCTGTGCAAGTATGAGAACTTGCATTTGGTCCCTAGAACACAAATGGGCTATCCCAGTGTTCCCTACCAGTACAGTAGATGGGGAGCTGATATAGGAGAATCCCTGGAAACTCATGGACCACTTAGCCTGACTTACAAATCAGCAAGAAACAAGAGACACTGTCTCAAACAAGATGTGAGGGCAGGGATGGACAACTTACTGTTATCCTTTGACCACCACACACATACTATGGCACACACATGCCCATACCCACACACAAGAATATGCACATACACTCACACATTCATCCATCTCAGACAAATAAATACGTTAGACTTGGGATGATAACTTGGATACCTTGCAAGCATGAGGACCCGAGTTTAATATTCATAACCCATGTTTAAACTAAACAAACAGACAAAACTGGGAGTGAATAATTATAATTGCATCACTGAGGACACCCAGCCTGGACTAATTGATGAGTTCGAGGCCAGTGAGAAACCGTGTCTCAAAAAACAAAGCAGAGACTTCCAGAGACCTGAGTTTGACCTCTGCCCTCTGCAACCACACCCACACAAACACTCACAAATGTACACATGAACATGCACACACACAAGCTTAAACAGTGATATATTAAAGGATTCCTTTGCCTATAAATCTAGCACTAGAGAGGGGCTGAATGGGAAGAATAGATGTTCACTGTCTCCCACAGCGTTGTGTGTTGGAAAACTTGGTTCCCAGAAAGTATCTGAGGGACATCTAGGGATGGAGGCATAGCCGGCAGAGGTGGGTACAGGAGTGCTTTTGAAGCTCGCAGATACTCAAGCCCCACTTCCAGGCTGAGCTCTCTGCTTCCTGTCTGCTGCCACGATGTGACTGGCTACCAGAAGTTTCCACTGCTGAAAGCCATCAGCACAACCATGCTTCCCTCCACACTGGATCGAGCATTCTGGATCATGAGTGACAATGAATCTATCTCTTTTAAGTCATTCCTATCATGTATGTAGTCACAACAATGACACGAGGACTGCCTTTTTTTAAAAAAAATCTTTTTCTGATTGCTTATTTATTTTCATCTATTTTTAGATAGTGTCTCATTTATCCCTGGATTGCTTCGAACTCTCTATGTAGCAGAGAATGACTTTCAGATGCTCCTCCTTCTGCCACCCAAGTGCTAAGATTACAGGAGTGTTTTACTATGTCTGTTTTGTACAGTGCTTAGGGTGGAACCCAGAGCTTTATCAATGCTAAGGAAGCCTTGGTGATGAGAAAATTATATGCCACTGTTCAGCCATCTTTAGTTCAAGCCTTCTCGGTTCCCTTGTGGTTTAGTAGAGAGTCTGTGTGTGTGTGCATGACCTCTATATAATTATTCCCAAATGCAAAAGTGTTTCCAAGGGGAATCCTGCTCTTGAGTCCTCTCCAGACTGAGCATCTGGACCACTCATGTTCTCAGAACATTGGGTGATAAGGTCAAGGACTAGCTCCCATTCCACTGATGGCTCTGATGTAGGACATATGTTCCAGCATGAGAACGACAGTAGGATTAGAGCTGAGCTTGCACTCTGTGTTTAACAGTTTTCCACTTGGCCTTGAATCCACAGTCATCCAGCCTCAGTGTTGACGTGAAATATACTCTCACGGGCTCGTGTGTTTAAATACTTGGGCTCCAGCTTTTTGTGGAAGGGTGTGAAACCTGTAGAATTTGGAGACGATAGGAGAATGAGCAAGCCTTGGAGTTCTATGGGCTAGAGAGCTGCTCTTTGCTGTCTGTCCTTTGCTTCCTGTGGATGCAAAGTGATGAGCTGTCCCAGGCTTCAGTCACATGACTTCCCTGTCACAATGGACTGCATCCCTTCTTAACCTTCGGACATCCATAATTCATCCTCCCTTGAGATGCTTCTGTCTGGGATTTTTGGCACAGCAGGGGGGAAAGTAAATGACACACATATCCTCTCAAGTGCTAGGACTATGGACATGGACCACCATGGGTTAAGACTCATTGTTAAAAGTGTACATGTGATGGTTAGTGTTAACTGGCAACTTGGCAGAATCTAGAACCACGTGAGAAAGGGCCTCTAGGTCTGTCTGTGAAGGGTTATCTTGATTATGTTCTCACCGAGGTGCAGGAGACACCGTTCCCTGTCTGGGATCCTGGACTTTAAAAGTGGAGAAACAGGGATAGGCTGCGCCATGTGCTCATCACTCCTCCTTCCCAAGGACAGACACCATGTGAGCAGTCAGCCTCCTGCTCCTGCCACTGTACCTTCTCTGCCTGCTGCTATGACTTGCTGACCCTGATGGACTGTATCTCCCAAGAACCCTAAATCAAAATAAACTCCATTGTAAGTGACGTCTGCACTGGTATTTCACCACAGCAGTAAGAAGGTAACTAGTAAAATATGTGTGGAGTTGTATGTGGCTCAATGGTAGAACAATTACCTAGTGCACAGGAAGCCTGGGTCCAATCCAGACAGCCATCCATAATAATGACAACAACAATAACAATAATAATTGCAACAACAGTTAGTGTAGGTAAGAGAGACAACCCAGAATTGAAATATCAAAGCATATGTAGAACTGATCATAGAATAAACTCGAATGTCTCACAGCCTGCATATGCTCAGTATGGGTCACATGGGCGATGAGTCCTATGTCTTCAGCAGTCAATATGACAAACAGGTACCTGAGTAGTTACATACAAGTTCCTTTTGAAAAGTTCATTACCATGAGGTCTTAGAAGAATGTAGAATCTGCTAATGGGCAGCTTGACTGGTTTTGATTGCTTACTTAGACACTGGCGATCAAGCCCAGAACATTGCTCTACCACTGAACCACATCTCAGCCCCTTGTTGTTTTTGGTTTTGCTTTTGACTTTGATTTGAAAGGTAACCCAGGCAGGCCTTGAACTAGTAGTCTACCCTTTCAACCTTCAAAATGCTGGAATTACAGGTGTGTGACACTATTTTTGGCTCTAATTGAGCTCATCTTAAGGACTGAGCTAAGGCCAGGTGTCTCAGTAACTGTGGTACCTCAGCCATACTAAGCCAGAAGACCTGTCCATCAAGACCAAAGTGGCCCCAGAGCCACCTTCTCCATCCTTTCTACCCACTCCATCCTCTTGCTCTTACCTACACCCTATCCAGACCCGTTTTTGCTAAATGCCTTCAGTTCCCATCCATAATTAACTAATTTCTCAGTTCAACATGGTAGATTTGACTCCCCAGCTCAGTGGACCCTTTTTCCTTCACAATAGGGCTTCAACATAGACAACTTTTTGTTACTGTCAAGAAATACCCAAGGCAGCTAACTTTCCAAAGAGGTTTATTTTGCCTGGCTTTGTAAGTTCAAGGACACATTACCGACATCTGCTTACTTCCATGGAGGACTTTCTGATGGAGCATTTCTGAGACAGTTCATAAGGATCGTCAAGCACCTGTGTGACCGTCTGGCCCTCTTCTTACAAAGTTGCAGGGGTTCAATCTTGGCAGCTCCCACCTTAATGCCCTCATCTAAACATAATCACTTCCCAGGGCTCCACCAATTTTCCACCCTTCTAATACCATTTATGTGTGACTTGAGCATTAAACTCCAAGAAGGGTTCCAGGAGACAATCCTATTTAAATGATAGTGCTAGTGATGGTCTTCTGAACAGTCTCACAGCTTTCACTGTCGCTAACCTGACGCATGGCTCCTTCTGTCTTCCTTCTCCCTTCACAGGTCACCCACGGGTGAAATCTGAGAGAAGACAGCAGTTGTCCAGCATGATTGGATCGGAACAGACATAGGCAGCTGGTACTCCACACATTGCTGTATTAGCAACTTTACACACTGCTATGAAAAAAATGTCTGACAGAGCAATTCAGTGAAGGAAAATATTGCTTTGGCTCATAGCCTCCACTGTGGAGGGGCAGCATGGTGACTGGTACTGGTCAGTCCATGGTGATGGGAGTTTTGTGCAAGCTTCTCAGTGGAGTTAACCAGGAAGCAGAGAACAAGACTGGAACCAAAGACTGGATGTCCTTCAAGGTCAGTCCCCAGTAGTCTATGATAAACCAGCTAGATTTCATATTTCATAGTTCCTCAGCCTCTCAGAATAGAACCAGTAGCTGGAACCAAGTGCTCAGACACATAAGCATTGTGGAATATTAGTTGAAGATGTGTTACATTTGCTTATGCTATGGCATATGTGTTTAATGATGCAAAGATGTATTGCATTCTATTATGCTGCATTTGGTTAACTCTGTGAAGCTGTGTGACCTGATTGGTCTAATAAAGAGCTAAATAGCCAATAGCTAGGCAGGAGAGGCATAGGTGAAGCTGGCAGGCAGAAAGAATAACTAGAAGGAGAAAAGGGGAATTAAGGGGTGAAAAGAGAAGGAGAGGAGGACTCCAAGAGCCAGCCTCCCAACTACACAGCAAACCACAGAGTAAGAAGTAAAGAAAGGTATATAAAAAAATAAGATCCCAGAGGCAAAATACAGACAGGACACCTTAATAAAACTGGCTAGAAACAAGTCAGGGTAAGGCCAGGCATTCGTAAGAAAGTATAAGACTCCATGTGATTTATTTGGGAGCTGGGTGGTGGGCCCCCTCAAAGAGCCAAAGAGTAAAAACAAGCAACTACACATAAACCTGTGGAAAATACTTCACAACCTCGCCATAACAGTTGCTAACTCCTAGTTGTTTATTCTTATACACTAAGAGGTCTGTTTGTACAGCACTTTCCTTTGAATTGAGACATTCCCTCCTGGGAGGAAGAAGGAGGCTAATAAGATTCAAGAAAAAAAGGAAATTTTCACATCCAAGGGAGAGCCTGCAACTTGAAAGACTTACAAGATTTCCCTCTAGCGTTATATAAGCAGTCATTGTGGCTTGCATGAGAGATTCTTTGGTGGAGATGCCTGCAAGCTGTGCATGGAGCTCCAAGAATATGGCTTTTATAAATTGTCCGTCATGCTGGGGTGGCGTTTTGGGTGCTCCAATTGTCTTTGAGTCCCTCGTGCTCTCAAAAATAACTCTAGTTATTAGTGAAATCACTAGCTCACTAAGCTAGAACTGGAAGGAACCAGTTCTTTGGTCTGTCATCAGTAGCTATCTGAGGCGAATAGGCATTGGTTGGGTCTCCCCAAGGAAAGGTCCCACAACAAGATCAGAATCAGAACCCATGTCCAGTTTGGGCTGGATCAAAACAGCCAACTGCAGAGATGCCCAAACCACACTGCTATACTGGTGTGATTGAGTTTCAGGTGCAGCTGACTCAAAGTGAGCCGCCGGGAGCCTGATGTGCTTCCCGGTCCTATGCAGACCCCATATCAGGGCCTAATGGATTTGAAATCATTCTCCAAGTTGCCTTGGAACGAATCACCAAGACTGTCCTATACAGGATTTCTCATTTCGGTGCAGTAGCTCCTTCTTACCGATTTCCACGCCGTCTTAGAGAAGTTGCATCTGTCTCCTCAAATAGCCGCACCAGCTGCTGGAGGTAAACATGATTGTGATGGCTGCTTTGTGATAGATGCTGCAACAGAGTCTGCCTAGTTCTTGGAATTGGCAGGCTACTCCTGCCCAATGAGGAATTAAGGAGTAGCTCTCTTCCCTGCTCTCCCTACTGCAAGCCCTGACAGAAAGCCTGCTACTCCTGACTTTAAGACAACTCTTCCCATAGCAACACGCTGGCAGCCTCTCTTGTCCGTCAAAGTGTTAACAAAGTTGGTTCAGATAGTTTTGCAAATCTTGCAGAAGTGACACCAACATAACCAACTGGCCAGAACTTTACTTTTTTAATATCCCAATGAAATCACAGCAACATTTGAAAACCATTACATGTTTGTGGTCTCATGACCACACAAAAGAAATGAAAAAGGAAATGCTCCCCCTGGGGTGTCCAGAATATTCTTTGTGTTTCTTACAGACTTAGGTTTTTTTTAGTAAGTGCACTTTATGCATGTCTGTGTGAGTGTGTACAGGTGTTTGAAGAAGCAAGGAGAGGGTGTTAGATCCCCTGGAGCTGGAGTTGCAGTGACTGAGACACTGGACATAAGTACTGGGAACTGACCCAGGTCCACTAGAAGAATAGCAAGTGCTCTTAACTGCTGGGTCATCTTTCCACTACTTTCTTTTTCTAATGTATGTGTGTGTGTAAGCGTGCTCCTATATTGCCTCTTTCACTAAGTAGGCTAGGCTAGCCATTCAGCAAGCACCAGGGGTCTTCCTATCTCCACCTTCCTAGTGCTGGGATTATCACTTGACTATGTCTTTTAATGTGTGTCCTGTGGGTTGAACTGAGGTCCTATCTGCTTGCAAAGCAAATGCTTTACCAACTGAACCATCTCCACAGCACCCAGGATGCCATTTTGAATCTCAAACATGATACATGATGTTTAATGTGTATCTGTGACTGGAGAGGTACAGTTTTCTAAACGCCAACATTCCAAGTCCTCTGCTTAACCTTCGGGGTCACCTCTCTTTGCCTCCTATTCTGGCATCACTTCTCGTGCAGTAATAAACTACCTCAACAAAAGACAACTTAGGGGAGACAGGGTTTATTTTACCTCACAGTTCCAGGTCGCGGTCCATCACTGAGAAGAAATCAAGACATAAACTTGAAGCACCAGTCAAGAACAGGGAGAAATGTTGTATTTATTTCTATTTGATCTGTATGAGTGTTTTGCCTGCATGTATATAAGTATATACCACGTGCTTACCTGGTGGTGATGGAGGTCAGAAGGGAGCTTCAAATCTCCTGGAACAGGAGCTTCGGGTGGCTGTAAGCTACCGCATGGGTGCTGGGAGTAGAACCCAGGTCCCCCAAAAGAGTGACAAGTGCTCTTAGCCACTGAGGTGTCTGAGGGCATAGGAAAACGCAAGCGTGCGTGCCAAGTGCTCAGCTAGGAGCTTTCTCAACTCTCATACAGTTCAGGGCTCCAAATCAAGGGGTGGTGCCCCCTGCTTTCAGGCTGTGTCTTTCCACATCAGTTAACTTAGTCCCCCACAGACATGACCTCAGGTTAACCCAGCACAGACCATCCCTCATGGATACTCTCTTCCCAAGAGTTACTAACTTATGTCAAGTTCAGCTAAAACTAGCCATCACACCCCAATCGTCACCTCTGTCCTACCCATCTCTTTCAGCTTCACTCCATCCCTTCCCCTGTCCTGTAAAGCAAAGGGTTCCCACCCTCATCCTCTAGCCTCATAATCGTCACATAATAAGCAGTGGGCATTTAGCCTTCACCATGGTTCCTAGCATAGACTCTCCCAAGTGACGGGGATGAGAAGAACACTTTTTTTGTTATTCAGTATAAATCTCTTTGCAAGCAGACCAGAGTTTATGCTAATGAGGTGACCCTTGGAAGACTCAGCTGATGTAAAGAAAGACAAGCTATGTCATTCAAGATTTGTAAGTCTCAGTCTCGGCCCCAGTTTCTAAGGGGGATACGGTCTATAAAGGTTGAGTTAGTCACCAGCATCTAGGGATTTAATCTGCAATGTCTATGCAATGGAACCCTGATGAAACTCCAAATAAAGGGTCTCAGAGGGAATACAATGAAGTACTGGGAAGGGTGGTGACCTCATAGAAGACCTGGAGACTCCCCATCCTTTCCAGTATCTTACCCTATGCCCCTCTTCACCTGTCTGTTTGTAACGCAACTGTTAAAACCTTTATAACAAACCAGCAAACCTGTCGTTTCATGTGTTTTCCTGAGTTCCATGTGAGCCTTTATCACGAATTACTCAACCCAAGTGGGGATTATGGAAGCTTTTAATTCATAGCCAAGTGGAACGGAAGTGTGAGTATCCTGGACACCCATGACTTTGGGGAAAGTCGGGTAGCTGTAGCATGCAGAGACTGGCCTTGCGCTGGTGGATGAGGAAGCATGGTATCCGACCTGAGTCATGCTTACAGCACTAAGCCTTTCACTTATGAAGTCTTCCCCAATTCCTAGGTGTTAGTGTAAGCACTGAATTCAGTTAACACATCTGATCTCATCTGATCTCAGAAGCTAAGCGGGGTACAGCCTGGTTAGTGCTTGGATGGGAGATCTGAAGTAAATCATAAAATACCCAGTTAGTGTCTAGAGAGCTGGACACTGCTACTATATGTTTGAGGGACTGGGGATAGAGCTTAGATGTTTGAGTGTTCAATTGCTGGTCTCTTTAGAATGTGCAATGTCCATTGCAGACTCATGTCTGAATATCTAGTCCCAAGATGGTGGCTGTTTATGGACATTTACGGAACCTTTGACCTTGGTCTGTGGGATTGAGGGTGGATCTTAAAGGTAATACACAGTCCCAATTCCTGCCAGAGAGCTCTGACTTCTAGTCCCCTATGATGTGACCAACCACCATAAGCTCTAGAGACCATGGACTGAGCCGCCCTAGCCGCCCTGCTTCCCCGTCATAATATCCCTTTAACTGTGAGCCCAAATCAACCTGTCTTCCCGTAAATTGCTTCTATAAGATGTTTTTGTCACAGCAGCAAATAATGAATACACCTGGCACACCGAAGACCCCTCAGCTTCATCTCCAGCACCAGAGGGGGAAAAAAATAAAATAAACACATTTTTGGTATATCTAATAAATTCTTTGAACTTCCTTATTCACAATTTTTTCACATTACCAGATAGCAAATTGATTTATGAAAAATTGCCCAAAAATCAAAATTCAGGCCCCAAGTTTTTGTTCAGTCCACTTTCTTTTAGGCAATATTTCTTTATACTCAGTTATAAACAGCTTGCCTATGTTCCTGTGGCTCACTTTGGTTTCCTTTCTCTCTATTTTTGACAGGTTTATTTTGCAGAAATGCATTTCCCAACTTTTTTTTTTCAAACTTGCTTTAAAAAAAAAGCAGCGTGTTTACAATGTTAATGGCCTCATTTTAATTTGCTCATATTCTTGTTAATAATGAAATCTACTTAATGTGAGTTAAAACTAAAAGCCTGTCAGGGTAATTCACAAACATTTAAAAGCCCTGCAGCAATTCTATGAGGATTCGCTGTTAATATTCTTAAGGACTTTCAATGGATAGATTAACCAGGCCTTGGCATCAACAGAAATAGCAAACAAATTAAAATTGGGCTCTTGGTAACAATCAGGGAGTATGAATGTTCGCACCCTTCAGCACGATACTAGCTACTGTATCTGGCTGCACAGGCACCTCCCACTACTTTTTATTGAATACGCATTCTAAGAATCACTGGAGATGAGGGGGTGACCTCACCTTATCTATCTTCCTCTCAGGAAAGCACAGGAGAACATTGATCAGATTGAAAATAATACAGCCCTACTTGGCAATCATCTTACAGCCATCTCTATTTGTACCAGAAATTTTCATGCACGTAATATAATTTACACCGAATGTACATTTTATTAAAATTCTGGCCTTGGAGACATCTGAAAATCCATTCTCAGACCTTTGAGACTCTTGCAATGTCTAAATGATCCCCCGTTTCCACGGTGGATTACAACTTCAAGAGCAGTGCCCACTGCTGGAAGGATTAAACCCCCTTCAGGTTTAATCTCTTTGAAAATTCAGTTTATATTAAAAGAAAAGCACTTTGCTATGTATTTATACATTAAAAAGTAGGTCTTACCATGGAGCTTTGATACCGATCCTGTTTAATCTTTTCAGCAATCTTTGGCAGGCAGAATTCATGTTACTACTCAGAACTGAAACTCTTGTAGCTCAGAGAGACTTGGTGTCACTTCCAAGTTCACACAGCCAGTGAGATGTAGGTGGGCATTCCATTTAAACCTTTCTGTTTATGTGTGAAAACAACAGATATTGCTTGTCATATAGAGCCCCTCTCAACAGATGGTTTGTGTGTGTGTGTGTGTGTACAACCTCAAGTGTCGTTCCTCCAGGGAAGTTCATCTTGTTTATTTTAGACAGGTTTCTCATTGGCCTGAAATTCACCAAGCAGGCTAAACAGACCAGCCAGCAAATCCAAGGAATCTGCCTGGTTTTGCTTCCCCATTACTCAAATTACAGGAATGCATCAGTACACCTCATTCTGTGTGGTACCAGGGATGCCAGAGAATCATCCTACTAATCAAACTTCATGCATAGCCCACAAAAGTTGCTTCTGTTGTCTAGTTTGGTCAACTATTACTCAAAAGCAACTAATATAACACCCTACATGCCCAATCTGGCCTGATGCCAGTCTCTGTTGTCCTGGAACAAGGCTATGCTTATATCTTTACATATTATCTATGTCTGTTTTGTGCTAGAAAGACAAAATTGAGTAGGTAGCTGCACAGATTGCACAGTCTGCAAAACAGGAACACTCTGGCAATCTAGATCTTTATAGAAATGGCTGGCTGATTTCTGTACTGGAAATGAGGTTCAGAGTTAGTCAAGCTGGAGACAGACATGGTAATGCATGCCTGTACTCTTCCTCCTTTTCAATGGTGGGGTCACTCAGTTTTACCCGATACCAACTTCCCAGCATTGGGATTACAAGAGCCTACCACTATGCCTAGCTTTTTTTGTTTTGTTTTGTTTTCAATGTGAGTCTGGATACCGAACTTACATCTTCCCACTTACATGGCAAACCCTTCACTAACTGAGCTTTTTCCCTGGCCCTTATAAAACTTTTTTCTTTCCTAAACCACAACTGAGAAGGATTTCAATGGACAGAGTAAATAAATATTATCAGGCACTTCCCCTTCTTCACCCGCTGGATGCTCTAATGTTAGCCTTCTGCTTTCTGGAATGTACTGGCACTTTCTATGATCTGTCTTGTGCCTTTTAAAGCACAAAAGCCAAATGTCACCTTCTGG